GTATATCTAAAATAGAAAATTAAAAAAAAGAAAAAAAGCCTCTTATATTTACCTAGGTTTAAATAGAAAACTAAAAAAAAAGAAAAAAGCCTTTTATATCTACCTAGTTTTATATAATAGTAATAGTAAGTAAGACTAAGTAAAGAAGTTATAGTAATATTATAAAAAAGGAAATTATATAAAGAGAATATATAGTAATATAGTAGTATATAAGGGGCTATAGAAGCTTATAGTGTAGTATAGTAGTAAAGGAAATAGTACTAAAGCTAGCCTAAGCTAAAGAGGCTTCTAGGACAAAAGCCTAGAAGAGAAAAGTATTATATTAAGGATAAATAAGTAGAATAGGCTAAGCGTAAGTTAAGTATTATATAACACTAAATAAGCAAGGTGTATAATACAAGTATATAGGGTATATAAAAGGATTATATACTAAGAGAGTGCATAGAAGTAAAGTAAGTATATATACACTAGGAATACCTAGGGGACAGAAGGAAGAAGAAAGGAGGGAGTAGCTTTTAGCTTTAGCAATACTATATACCTACCTTTATACTTGCAGTGTGTTTGCTTATTACCCTAGTTACCTATTGCTATTTAACACAGTAGCTTACTTAGTGGCTAATAAACGTAATAGGTCTGCTAGACAAGTCTTCTTGTTGATAGAAGTTTCACCTTGACTAATATCGGTATGTTCTTGCTTGATTAAAATGCCAGTTCTATGGCATGTTTCTGTAACACTAGATGTCAGATGCAGCAGAGCAGTATGAGGATTATAGCCAAGGCAGTGAAAAGTAGCGAAGTGCACATGATAATACAAAACGGGCGCATTGTGAACTTAGTCATATGAGACAATTTGAGGGATGGTACAAAGTGGCTAAAATCAGTAAGGACTGTGAAAGGTAAAATAAAGAGGAAGACAAAAATCACAGGAAGTGATCCAGGTGCCTATCGGTGGCGTCACGGTAAAGGCCTTTAAAACAAGGCCTTAAGATACCTCTTCACTTTTGTTAGCTACCAAAAATAATATTCAACTATGTCTAGGCCTACTTGGTGTCTACTTACTGCGCGTATACAAGGAAAAGGATCTTATTACAAGACTCATAATTATAATAGCTGCCCTAGCTTTTATTAGGGTAAGGGAAATTGACTGTACCACGTTGCTGTTAACACCAGTCCCCAAGCGAGCACATAAGACGTCCCTACTAGTCAGGCAGACGGCGCTCTAACTGACAGAAGACCACGACAAGGGGTCCACCGTTGGCTCTTGAACGGATTGTCCATACTCCAAGTGGGGATACCGCCAAATCTGGCGCTGCTCGTGCGAGCGGGAAACAGCGGCAGAGAGGGAGTTCCGGACAGCCAGCACGTATTCTTGGGAACTGCGCTACGACAACGCCTACTGTTACTATTGATCAATATCAGTAGCAAGTAATGAATCTGATTGAGTTTATCAAAAGGACGGCGGTATAGGGGTTAGGTTCACCTAGTTGCGGCATTTTATGGGAGCCCGGCATCGTTACCCTTAAAGAACAATGGATCAAAATCAAAAACACATCTTGAATTCTCCTGTTACTTCTTGTTGACTCAGAGCCCTAATCAACTTCAGTCCTAGCCTTCTAAGATGTCACTCTCCACTTTCAATCACTATGATTAGTAGAGTGAGAAAGCCAATGCCATGCGTCATATGTAGTATCGCCCCTCGTCTAACAAAGTTTTCATCTTAGAGGCTCTTCGTTTCTTCCCTCCTCCTGAGCTCATGGAGATGATTCAATCATGGCACCGGCATAGGGGTAGATTTAGTTAGACCCCCTGGTTGTTGAATTAAGAAGGGTTCTTCAGAATAATTAAACTATTAGTATTATTATGTTATTATTCTTATTGATTATTAAACAGTAATATGTCTGTTATAATTGTTGCTATTGCTTAAGAAGAGAAACTATCATGGTGCTTGACTGCGAGCGGGCCCAGCTCCACCCATTCGTTGTAGATACCTAGTATTGCGACACTGTTTTACTGACACTGCACTATCGCCGTAAGTACAAGGTTGTGTGGTAAGCGAAAAGGTATTATTGAGGCAAGTAGGAATCTAGGCTCGCGGAAGCTAATGATGCTGAGATAATTGATAGCATCGCTAGGCTGTTGAAGATGGCGGAGGAGCCTGGCGGGGGCCTGCTGAGAACGCAAGTGTTATAAGTAGGTCAGGGTAATTAACTGTAGTACAAAGCAAAAGCTTCAGTAATGATGCACCTGCATTATTATCCCCTGTTATGCATTATATAGTTACGCTGGTTAGCACCCCAACTAGTTGGGCTATAACAGCAAGATAAAGCCATAAGTAAACAGACGTAGATTAGGTTTTCTGAGGCTTGCTAGCTGATGTTGTCACCGCAAGTCTCTTCCTTTTGCTGCAGCAGCTAAACCTTAGGCTGTTTATGAACTAACAACGTTGGTCTCCGTGAGTGTCTTGCTCGCCAGACCGACTGACTGACTTCCAGCGGCGGAGAGAAGACGAGCAAGGGTGTCTCAGCAATCGCATACTTCCAGCCAAAACACACGCACTGACGATCTGAGAATGAACCGGCGGTGAGAGTGAGGAGGAGCCTATATGTCTAGACGTATGATTGGTACGGTGGCGGTGAGCTTAGCAGCAGCAGAAGACGAGTAACCTAGACAGCAAAGAAGCGGGCGCAGCAGACGAATAGATCACATACGTCTATTGAAGAAAGCTTGTGTGGGACAACCGTATGCCCCAGTAGTTTATGTCTCTTGCCGCTTGTTTATCCTCCTTCTCGCCTGCACCCAGATGAACACCGCTCATCTGGCACTGTCGTTCGTTTATCTCAATCTCTGTGCCGCTGGTTGTGGCCTGTCTTGCCGGCGTTCATGTCTTGTGCTGTTGAATGTGCCTGTCCTTGTTTTATTATTGGGTACTAGTGTTTATCTTTATGTCTTGCTTTTATAGACTTCCTGGCCCTTACGTCCTGCTAGCATCCATATCTTGCTGATATTTATGTCTTACACCGTTGAATGTCCCTATGTTTTCTATTGGCAACCAGTGCTGTCCATCTCCATGTCTTGTATCATTTACTGTGTGCTTGTGTGTGTGCTGTGCCTTGCTGGCGTTCTTCAGCCTTCCCATCTTGTTCAACGAAAACTGATACTCATGTGCCCTGTCCTGCGAGAGTTAATATTTGATGCCGCTATGTACCCGCTTTGCCCATCAAGCACCGGCGTTCATGTCTTGTTACCGCTCAGCCCAACTATGTCGCCTTCACACCGCTCGACAGGCGTTGGCCTTCATACGTCAGGCCGCTCTCCATTCTCGCATGACTCTAGAGCTCGTTTGCCATGCCCCTCGCAGCTTTTCTCACCATCCTGTACTAGAGTTCATGTATCATGCCGCCAGGTCTGCCAGTCTTGTCCAGTAAGCGCCAGTGTTGATGTCTTTTCCCGCCCAGTCTGCCTGTCCTGCCCATACATCAATCACATGGCAGTGTGCATTCATGTGCTGTGCCGTTAGGCTTGATTTTTCACGAGCATGCATGCTACGCTTATTGAAAGCTGCCATCATGGTGAAAAGTAAGGACGAAGAAAAATGGGTGAATCGTCTCGTCACTTATCACTTTCGCACGATGTCTTTCCTCTTTTTCCTTCTCTATACTCACATCCTAAAACTTACTGAGAGAGTGAGAAGGCCCTGTTATCAGGGCTTGAACACATCTCATGGCCAGGCCAGTCCATGTAATTAGGGGCGTGCTGGTCATGACGCAACCTGCTTTTGAGTGTTTGAGGGCGTATGAGCCCATGAATTACGAGAAGCTCTGGTTATCCAGTCAACCGCGTCCAGCCACCATCCTCGTGGAGCTGGCTTTAGTTTTGCTAGTCAACACCAGTCATTACTGACTGGTCTGCTCGGAAAACCTTTCTCTCGCGGTCTAGTTATCCAGCCAGACGTCCAGACAGGCAGACAGGTCTGGTTCCAAACCGCCATGCTCACAGGTCGGCATAAGAAATCACCGGGCTACGCGGAGTTAGTTATCCAGCCGACCGTGTAGACAGGACTGGTTCCACGGGTTTATCCCGTTTAACCCAGCTCTGTCTTCCCAAACTACCCCTGTTACCAGAGCTAATTCCTGCAGGTTCATCTCGTTAATCCCAGAGACAAACAGCAAACATGGCTGGTCCTGGGTCTAGGGGCGCCAGCTAACCGCTTTGCATTAATCCATTAATCCAAAACGCGTAATGCTGACGCTCCACGATAGTCACGTAATCTAGCACCTGATTAGACCCACTTGAATTAATCATTCATCTCTCCCCCACCTCCACCTTATCTTATCTTACCTCTACCTCATCTCCACCTCATCTCACCTCCACCTCATCTCACCTCCACCTCATCTCACCTCCACCTCATCTCACCTCCACCTCATCTCACCTCCACCTCATCTCACCTCCACCTCATCTCACCTCCACCTCATCTCACCTCCACCTCATCTCACCTCCACCTCATCTCACCTCCACCTCATCTCACCTCCACCTCATCTCACCTCCACCTCATCTCACCTCCACCTTAATCTAGCCTCAGAGGTAACGTAATAGGTGTAAAGTAGACAGTAGCTTAGATAATACTACAGTTTCCCTGCTAAGACGTTCTCACTATGTCTATTCCTACTATAATCCCTCTTATTTGTCTCTGTCATGATTACTTGTTCACCCTGTTAACAAGACTACCAGTATCCCTGTCCCTGGCAGACCACTCTAGATATTTATTTCCTATTACTGTAATTAGGATATCCCTACGTGACACCATACCTTACGAAAATTAACCAACAGTTAGACTAGCTTGTTCGTCAACACCCATCTGGATTTTGTCTGCGATGTTGTTGCAGTAGCATCGTCTTGCGGATCTGCAATAGCTCGATAATCATAGCGTATCCTGGGATGTCGTGCCGCATTGTTCCAGCCAGGCCAATGAACGATTCAAGTGCTAGCAGTGTCTTCAGGAATCAGATCTTGGTGATTACTCGTGTCTTTACCTCAGTTGTTAACATACCAAAAGAATCAGCCTGCTTGCCAAGGACAATCGCTGACGGGAAGCTAATGTATGATTTGGATGGTCCCGATGATATGTTTTTCTCACGTAGTCGTAGGAAGATTTCTTGTAGGTCTGCAATGTGTTTGTTAATCCCCTTTAATACTACAACAGTATTATTGCAATATCTGTTGGCCCTATGCCTCGCAATGTGCGATCTAGTGGTTGTTAAACGTAGGGGTTAGAGTTTTTATATCTTATAATAGGTACTTAAAAGGTGTATTGTCCTTCTGTGGTTACAATTGTGAATGCCTATTGCGATGCTGAGTGTACTCTCTATTGGTAAAAGAATGCCATGGCATCGAATGTTGATATGTGTGTGGCGTCTGCTGCTTTTGCCATGATCACGGAGGCTCGTGTGTCTCTCGTATGTCTCGACAAGGCGTGGGTGGGCGGCAGTTGCATGGCCAACACAGCTTATAATCCGTGCTTCTCCTCTAAACGGCCTACAGGATATGCCATGCTTGGCCGTCTTGGCCATGGTGATTTCTTCGACAGGCCGTGTTTTTATCCCGCATCAAAGGCTACATTGCATGCATCCACGCTCATACGCAGCCTCATGCAGTTTTGGAAACTCGCCCGTTTCGTCTCGACCTCAAAGCTAACAAAGGTACGTTCAAGTCTATAGATATCATTTCACAAAGGCTCTAAGGCTCCCCAGGAACGTAGAACGCTATTTGGTATGCTGGTGAAAACGGGCTTGAAAAGCATATGGTACAAGAGGTGCGGCGGCTTAAGGAGCTCTGCAGGGCGCATGCGAGGCGGATAGAGACGGTGCAGACCAGCATGCTTGGGTTAATTGAGGCCGTTGACAAGAACCTCGTGAAGAAGGAGTCGGGAGCAGCGTGGTAATGGCCGCTGTCCTCGTTGTTGGCGTGGCCGAAAGAATATGTGCCCGTTCAGCACTTCATGGCCGAGATGGAAGGGACCTTGTCGGCGGAACTGCAGGACAAGCGCGAGTTCGACGCATCGCTCGCCGCTTCGTTAGGCGAGCTGAGAGACGTCAGCTCTCGTCTTTGCGAGTAGAAGAAGGCGCTGCTGGGCAAGCTACAGGCAAGAAGTACTAGCGCTCGACACAGAGAAGTGCGTCCAGGACCAGCGCCGGGCGGCCGAGGGCTGTGTCTGGCTCGTTGCATGATTCTGGACGGAGCCCGGCAGCGTGCAGGAGTGGTTCGATCAGGCGCGCACGATCCGACGGGAGCTGTTGCGATGGCGAGGCCGCAAAAACAAGGCCGATATCGCGTGTCTCGTCACGCGGAGCGGGGTGGCAAGGGCGGCCAAGGTCGTCCAGGCCGTCAGGGAGGACATGGTCAGGTCACAGGAGCAGTGGAACGATCCCCAGGCGCTCCGTGGACACGTCGCCGCCTGGGCAAGGCAGGCCGACGAGCAAAGGTGGCGGCGGTGGGAGGAGCAGACGGCGTACCTCGGGATCTTGTATCCACGTAGTTTGCGAGACAGCCATGGCGTATTTGCATAATGAGACAGGTAGGCAAGAAAGCAAAGCGACGCTTGTAGAATCAGCGCTAGAGGCCAGCCAAATAAATGACCCGGACAAGGTAGATGGATAGGTATCATATTCCACATTGCTTGTTGGTACACCGCGTGTTCTTTCCGAAGTCTGCCACTGTCGGCGGCGCAATTAGTCCATGGTTTATTGCAACTCGGTCTACATCAAGGCCATGACCAGGAACCTCCAGAGTTCGGCATGGCTCAAAGTCCACTGCACCCATCCGGCCGCGGCAAGGGCTGCCAAGTGCGAATCGATAGCCCGAGGCGTTCCTGGGCATTGGCGAATGCTTGATTAAGTTTGGATAACTGGAGGAGGAGCAGATCGACCTGCGGAATGAGGTTTTGACGCAGGCTAGATATTATGGCCAGTATCTTACGCGTCTGGTGTAGGTGGTCCCTTGACAGCAATGTCAGGTTAGTGCACTACGTAAAGAATAAAGAAGAAGAAAAAAGAAGAGAAAAAGATATCCTTCTTAAGGAAGGGAGAGGGATAGGGCAACAAACCTTGCGTGTCCTTGTGTAGTAGGCGTTACGCAGACCCTAGCAAAAGCGTCTAGAATCTAGTGCTATTTTATAATAAGATTATAGAGGTAGTGCTTAAGGTAGTGTAACAGGCGGGATGCGCGGCGATCGGCCGGAATTAACGGGTGCATCAAGTGTGACACTGCCACGGACTGTCTTCACAGAGTCAACGAGGGAGGGCCATCATCTCTAAACGTTCGGGCTGGCACCTACTCGTGAATCCGGGGATGCCATACCTAAAGACACTAGAAGTGAGCGAGCGAGGGAGAGAAAGCGTTTTGTGGATGGTTCTCGTCGAGTGAGGGGGATAAGGGAGGGAGAAATCGGAAGAGGCGGCGTCAACAGAAGTCAGGAACCTAAGATCAAAGGGGCAGGGCAGGGCAGGGCAGGACAGGCGGTGTCGTGCGGTGCGGTGCAGTGCACAGGATCATCAGAACTTTTTTTCCACTTCCACACGCACACGCTTGCACAAGCATCCAAAGCTCGCAGGCCCTGTCCCTCCAACCTCACCATCCTCTTCAAGATGACATAGGGTAGGGAGGCTCCCCTTCCCCTGGCTGCCGCCCCTGTATCTGCTGCCGCCATCACCCCTTCGCATCGCAATCTCTCCAATATTTCACAGCTGACTTCAAGCTTTTCTAGGTGCAAAGCCCAAGGATTCTCGCCCCAGACCGTCTAGCAGAAGTTTGCCCAGACCAGGGATACATTCTCTATGGATCTTGATAAACCCGAACGTACAGGCTTGTTTGCCTTGTTGTTTTGTTCCCAGTGGATGATAAGAGAAGGCGCATGGAACATCGCCATGAACAGCCTCCTCCAAGGTCCAAACACACGCAAGGAGGCAAACGCAAACAACGTCAAGATAGCCACAAGCCTCGTTTGCGCCGCAGCCGCAGCCCCAGCCGCCATCGCTACAATACTCCCGCCCCTCGCAGCCAAAGCCACAGCCGCCATCACCACAAGACCCCTGCCCCCCGCAGCCGATGATGCACCCGCAGCCGCCATCACAGGACTCCTGTCCCTCGCAGCCAGAGCCGCAGGCACAGTCGTCATCGCCGTTTAACCCCCACATCTTGCAACTACAGCCGCAGCCGTGGGCACGGCCGGCAGAAAACGAATCAAGACACAGATAAGAGAGAGAGGGAGAAGGACCAGAGAGGGAAGAGCAGAGGTGGTGATTGCGAACGATAGGAGGACCAGGTCAGACAAGGGCGGCGTGTCGTGGAGGATTGGGATGCGCGCATGGCTCACGTCAGCGAGCTCGCCAAGAGATACTTGAGCTCTGTGGCATCCCTGTGGCCAAGTACGCCAAGAAGATCAAGGCTCGCTGACGCTTCCGCATGTTCCTGTGCCTGTCGACGTGCGACGACGTCCTCATAGCAGTGGGCCGACAGGAAGTGCCAGCCTTGCGCCTGGAAGGTGGCTCAGGCGGCGGCAGCGGCAGCGTCGATACCAGCATCAAGCGGGACCCCCACGAGAGCAGCGGAGCAAGTGTGGTTTGTGGCCGGCTGTGGGCTACAACCGGTCTAGACTTTGGCATGGTGCGAGACAAGAGACTTCACAAGGCGTTGGAGAAGAGCTCCGCGGACGCCGTCAAGTACCTGGTCAGAGGCGCCAACAGACGAGCCGCCGCCGCCATCGGGGTTCAAGAAGACAAGTTAGACAAGAGTCAGAGGGAGGAGGGAACTAGGGCATATGGCGTTAGGGGCACAGACATACAAGAGGAGGGGTCCACTAAGGCCAGCTTAGACAAGATGTTTACCGCAATGCATCCCTTCTAATAGGATAAGACGGATCATGTGCAAGGATGATTGTGATGGAGTCAGTATTATTCACAGACCAGGTGATGCTTAGGTAATCGGGTGACTTGGTCCCAATGTTTGATACTGGTAGAGCCCAGGCGGGCTGCTGTGCCGTTCACAACCAAGTTAACAGCAGATGTGACTTGTACCCCCATCCTCTCGTTGCCAGTCGCCAATCACTACGTACCGGCTGGCTGGGTGGATCCTTGGGAGGGCCCGCCGGCTGCCAGGCACTTAAGCCTCACTCCTGCTAGCTGCCAGGTGCAAGAAATCCACCTGGCAGAAAGCTAGCAATGATTCACTAACGCGCGTTTTCAGTATAGCCCGCCACTACCTTTAAGGGCCCTTACACCAAGCGGAGCTTGAGGCGCAATACGCGTTCAAAGATTCGATGATTCACTGAATTCTATAATTCACATTACTTATTGCATTTTGCTGCCTTCTTCATCGATGCCAGAACCAAGAGATCTGTTGTGACAAGTTTTGGTGAACGTATAATCGAAAAGACGTCGGAGTCGAGCAATTTGAGGCAATGGCATCGCTAGCAACGGAAACTTCATTGTGTTTTGTGACTTGCGTGGCCCGAATTGATCCGGCGCTCTGGATTCAGTCATCCACCCTACACTGCCTATGCTGCATAGCGAAAGACGGCCATAACTGTGGTTGTGGTGACGGCAGTATGAATTGCTGGCAAGGATGTTGCTACTGCTGGGCAAGAAGAGTAATCTCTTGTTGCTGCTGGTGATGAAAGAGGGCAGCATTGTAGGCGTCTGTTCGTGATGATTTTTTGTATAGCTTATTGACAGTAGGGGTAGGTAGCAGTAGACAAGTGGTGTTAGTAGACAGGCGGCAGTGGTGGTGGTGGACAGGTGGTGTTAGTACACAGGTGGTGGTGGTAGACAGGTAGTGTTAGTAGACAGGTGGTAGTAGTAGACAAGTGGTAGTAGTAGACAAGTGGTGTTAGTAGATAGGTGGTGTTAGTACACAGGTGGTGTTAGTAGACAGGTGGTGTTAGTAGATAGGTGGTGTTAGTACACAGGTAGTGTTAGTAGATAGGTGGTGTTAGTTTATAGGTGGTGTTAATTAACAGGTAGTATTAGTTAGTAGACAGGTGGTATTAGCACACAGGTGTTAGTAGAGAGGTGGTGTTAGTAGGTAGGTGGTGTTACTACACAGGTGGTGTTAGTAGACAGGTGGTGTTTATAGACAGGCGGCAGTAGTAGCCACATTCTCTGGAAAGAATACGAAGTATCTGTTCTAAAAAGCGAAGTAATAGGTGGTTCCTCTGACTATAAAGGCGATTTGGTTAGGCTCTTAGGCAATGGCGTGGTCGGCAAGATTATGCAGCGCGACGCGATAGTAGAGGGAGAGAGTGTAATAAGTGTGGCTGGCAAAGGTCTTGGGCGACGGCTGGTTGGTTGACTCTCCGAGACTCTGTTTTGAGAGCTGTCGCTTTAACTTGATGTTTGACACGCAAATAGATGGCAAAACCTCTTTCTTGCTACCGCTGGGGATTTAGGCCGCCTAATCGTCAGCAGTTTGCAGCGTGTTGCTTGTAGACTTTATAAGCTGTTGAATGTAGACGTCCAGGGATTCTGCAGCGTCAGGGACCTATTTAGTAAGGTATTTTATAATGCTGACAGCGGTCTTGGCAGTGAAATGTCTGGACTTTACCTTCTTAATGGTATTGTAGAATCTGCGTAGTGCGTTGAGAGCCTGGTTTACTTTCGAGGGCATGTCCTGACAATTATTAATAACAGGTAGTGTTAGTGGACAGGTGGTGTTGGTACATAGGTGGTGTTGGTACATAGGTGGTGTTGGTACACAGGTAGACAGGTGTCAGTGGTGGTGGCAGTGGCAGTGGTGGCAGGTAGGCCATGAAAATACCAAATCGGGACTGTATAATAATTACTAGTAACCGCCTAAAAAAGCCACCTGCCTAAAAAAAAGCAGCCCACCCCGAAGTCGCGTCTCGGTTCGGATGCGCCACGCCACTACGCGTGCCCGCAAACCAGAACCAACCTATGCAACATCACCGTCGAAACTAGGCAGACACGCGCGTCGAGTACACACGGCTCTCAGAACAGCCCCCCCTTCCATCCAAAACGATGCAGTCAGTTCGTATCGCCATGTCTTCAATCCCTTGCCCCTGCTGCGGCTGGCCCATGCTGCGGCTGGCCCAATGGCCTTGTCTCATGGTCGCGAAGTCGGTTCACACAGGCCGCTCCCCGTCATAGGACAGCTGCTTCTTCCCATCTTCCCAATACCACCGGATAAAGATCATCTTTGGTGGTATTCGTGGCCCTCCTACCGCGCGGACGGCCTCGATAGTGTCCGAAAAGGTCTTCTCCCGCTCGTCAAAGGCTGCGCGTACCCCGCTCGACTCCTGCCGGATCCAACGTTCCGCCATCATGGCCGTCGCAAGCAGGTCCCGCAGCGGAGAGAAACCCAGAAGCTGCCACTCGACGGGGCCATCGTTGCACCGGTCCTGCAACCGCGCCCACGGCTGATCACCCTCCAAGGCTTCTTAGATCTCTTTTCGCACCGCGCTGGCGTTTTCCAAGAGACTGACGGCGGCGTGGACGCGACCGCGCATCTGCGATAGACGCGGCGTGGCAATCGTCTCTAGGAATGGAAAGATGCGGCCGAGGCGTTCGGTCGCGAACGTGATCAGGTTCCCGTCGCTGACCGGAAAGTGTCGGTCCAGCTATGACGGGGATTAGGAAGGTTGTGGCGAGAGGACAAGGCTAGCACGCTGAGGGTTGAGACGCATCATCTGGCCGCTCCCTCTCAACCACTCAAGTCGCTCACAGTCTAAAATTCCATAACCCCATGTCAGTAGCTCGGCCTCAACGTCGCGATGGGTCACCTCGAGCACTTCTAGCCCGGCGACAACCCTATCGCAAAGAGGCCCCAGAGAATCTTGCCACCTGTCACGCTCTGTCTCGTCCGAAGTGTTTTGAGGCAATGGTTCCAGAGCCGGTGCTGGTGCCGGGGTGGAAGAGGGACATCGTGTGTGCCGACGACGAAGCCTGAGCAGACGCCGTTCAGGGCCAAGCGAAATCGAATCGATGAACTGTCGCTGTGCTAGTCCGAGGCGGCGGCGGTGGCGGAGGAGGAGAGGTGGAGGATGCGGGTGCCTTGGGTTGGAACCCAATCATCGTGGATGCAGATCTTGAGGCTCTGTGGCATCCTAGAGCCCCTGCCTAGCTGTAGCTGTATGCGCGCCGAGGAGAAGGCAAGTCCCCTGTGGCACTTGGATTCTGCTGTCGAAGAGAGTGATACCATGTTGAGACGAGGGCTAGGGCGAGACGTGACGCGCAACGCCCCTGTTGGGTTTTGAGAGATGGAACGAAGAAAGAAAAGATATACAACAACAGCCAATAGGATGCTCTCCTCCATCACGCTATTTCATAAACTGATTGGTACTTTCTTCCTAATGCGGTTCTTGGGTAATTGTGGTCTGCTCCCCTTTGTGTTTGCTGTTTGCTTTTTTCTTGCTGCTCTTCTTCTTCTGTTTGTTAAATCTCCTGTGCCACCACTCGCCTGTCTTCCTCCTGCCCCCCTTGTCTTCTTGTTCCCATCTTCTTCCTACTCTCCCCATGGACATCCAACGATACGTATTTGTAGAACTGCGGTGGGAAGACTAACTAACGCCTAGCTAGGCCTGCTCTCTTGCGCGATAAGCGAGCCCCCAATACCGACCCAAATCGCCGGACACCGGGAAATAATCCACATTGACTGCAGCTGTACCGTCGTCAACGAGCCCAAGGATATGCCAGACTTGAGGACAAGCGTAAGTCCATTGTCAATTTAACAGGCCTCCAACACCACCAACAAACAAGATGCCAGCAACCAAGAAGAGCTAGAGACGTCCTATGCCCATGTCCGAAACGAACAGAGCGACATTTCTCCCCGCCAATCGCCCACGCCTCGATTCGGCCCTAGCCCTTCATCGCAGCCGGTAGACGACACGTCCGTCAACTTCCTTTATAAGCCTGTTGATGCTGGCTACATCATACCCGTCCGCCAATCGCCGCCGCCGCTTACGCAACCCGCAACGCAAAAGTCCTACGTCAACCCTTTCTGTTGGCATATGGGTAATGCGGCCGGAGGCGGTGGGTCACGTGACACACCGCCTACCGGCAGAATCCCTACTCTTGCCCACACGCAAGGGTGCTGCTACACTTATGCTCCCACTTCACCTTGTTAACTAGTCAACTATTAACAACTACAAATTTAACTACCTTTTCCTAACCTTTGTAATATTATAAGATACAGGATCCTTATTAATTAACTAGTAAAAACTAACATTAATTAATAGTTAATTATTACTAATAACTAGTAATTAACAAGGCTTACTATTATAGAAGTTTACTTAGCCTACTATAACCTAGTAGACTACTAACTAAGTTAAGTATTATTAAGGCTACTTTACCTCTATAAGAAATACTATAGTGTCTAATTATACTATTAAAACCTTTTTAATAAGCAAGAATCTTTTTTATACTAACTATAGTACTATTAAAAAAAAACACTTAAGTAATAATAATTACTACTATATTTAACTTTCTTTTTTATTTTTATATTTACCCCTTTAGAAATTTATCTTTATTTACTTTATATATATAAAACTAACCTAGTACTATCTAGACTTATAAGTGTAAGTTATATTAAAAAGAAAACTTACTACTTAATTACTACTATAAAAGTTATATAGTAATTACTACTAATTAACCTTAATAACTAACCTTATAATAAGTTAATCTAGTAGTACTTTATACCCTAAGGTGTTTACCTTTATAGTAAAATATATTAACTATAAGAAGTATAGCTAAGAAATCTTTTTTAATAAGTAAGACCTTTTTACTATTTACTTCTACTTTACTTATTATATAGCTAAATAGGCTAAATATACCTTTATAGGTTATAAGCTCTAAAGGGACTTTTAATATTACTTTAATAGATAAGATAAAGCCCTCTTTAGTGCTACTAGTAAAATACTACTATTAATTTTTTATAACTTCCTTTTTAACTAAGGTATCTTTATACCTAAAGACTATTAATAAATTACCTTATACCTTATTACTATTATTAATAATAATAAGTTTTATATTTAGATAAATAAAAAAGTTAAAAAAGTATAGTATAAGTTAGTAGTATTTAATAGGCTTATTAAAATATATAATAGCTTTCTAAATAATATTTAATATAGTTATATTAGCCTAAAGTAGTATAAGTAAAAATAGTAATAGTAACTTATTACCTATATAACTAAATAAAGCCTAGTAATATTTATAAACCTTAAGTAATAACTAGTAATAATATAGGCCTAACTTAATAAATAAGTATAAAAGTTATAGTAGTAAAAGTAGTAAACCTTAGTATTACTATAATAGACTTAATTTATATAAGATTTACTACTTCTTTTATATAACTTAATATAAGGACTATCTTAATAAAGTAATAGTCTATTATCTTTCTTTACCTATTATTAATTATAGTAAGAACCCTTTACTTACTTATATACTAATCCTATAGAACCCTAAGGTATAAGATAACTACTACTAATTAAGAGTAGTACTACTAGTAACTATCCTTTTCCCTAGTAATTAGGCACTTTAACTAAGATTATTACTAATAAATCTAAGTATACTAGTAAAATATATAATATATTTAATATTAAGTTAAACTTATTCTATAATAACTATAGTAAAATTAGTATTAAGAGACACTAAATAGTATTAGCCTTTTTATTAATACTTAAAGGTAAAGCTTTTACCTTTTATTTTACCTAAATTAGTAGTAGGAATATTTAAGACTTTACTACTATAGTTACTTAAATAAGAGCTTACTTTAAGAGCCCTAAGGCTATTTAGATATACTTTACTAAGTAGTAAAATACTACTTTTTACTATATTATATATAATAACCCTAAAAAAGTAAGCTTAAAGTACTTAAGAAGCTTATTAATAAACTTACTTTTATTTAATAAGCACTACTTAATAGCTACTATAATAATAAAGTCTTTTAATCCTAGCTATTAAATACTTACTCTAGAGTTTATAAGTATAAATTATACCTATTTAATCTAGTGCTTATATTAGAAAAAGTCTATAACTAACTATAGTTATTAGTAAGTACTATAATAAAATATAATAATAAAGTTAGCTAGTACTAAGTAAACCTTAATAATTAATACTAAGTTAACTATACTTACTATAGCTAAGGGTATAACTAGTAGTTTAGTAATAACTATAGTAATAGTAACTATTATAGTAATAATAATAGTAACTATAATACTAAAAAGTACTATATTTACTATAAGCCTAGTTATTAGTTAATAAAATATACTACTAATAAGTAATATAAGGTATATTAATAATTTAAAAATAACTACTAGGTAAAAGACTTTTTACTAACTATATATTAAACCTTTTTTACTAGCTATAAAGGTAGTTACCTATAAGAAGAAGAAAGTAATAAAGATAATAATAAAGACCTTAGTTACTACCTTTAAGGTAACTATACTCTTAAAAGTAGTAAAAATAAACTAGAAGGTAATACCTTTTATACCTCTACTATATTCTTTAGTAGTACTACCTTTAGTAGTAATAAGCTTATCTTTAGCCTAGCTAACTAAGCTATATATTACTAGTTAATAAAGATAACCCTAGTATAGTATTATTAGATCTAGCTACCTCTTTTATACTAGATTATTACTTATTAGGTACCTTTTAAAGTATTTTACTTAATATAAGTATTATAACCTTTTTACTACTAGTTACCTATAAGTAACTATATTATAGTAAATCTAACTATTAGTAACTATTAATATAGCTACTACTAGCTAAGTAAAGATCTAGTTTAGTAATAATAATACTATTTACTTAAAGAGTACTATTATAGTTAGTATATTATTTAGGCCTATTACTTTTATATAATACTTATAAATATACTTTTCTTACTTTACTTAGTAAATATAAATTAACTACTTATTTACTTTAATAACCTTATAAATACCCTTTAATAAAGTAATATTATAGTACTAGTTATATAAAAATAGGGCATCTATAAATACTCCTTAGCCTACCTAAATATAGCTTACTAGTTACTACTTAACTAATATAGAGTTATAATAACTTTACTAATAATTTAGGCACCTATTAGTCTACTATCTTTATAAGGTTCTTTATAAGGCTAGTTATAAGGTTAAAGTTAAAGCTATTAAGCACTTAACTAAATACTACTATTACTACTAGCTTTATAGGAAGGCACCTTTATAATTTAAATTTACCTTATATAATAACTATTTTTTAACTATAAGGTTATTATTAATATTATATACCTTAAAGGTAACTAACTAGTTCTTTATATTATTAATACTATAACTACCTTTAATATAGTATACTTTCTTTATAATATTTCTATAAAGACTATATAGAAGGTACTTTATTACTACTAGATTAATGTCTACTAAGGACCTCTAGACTAGATTATTACTAACGTAAGTAAAACTTTACTATAACTAAATTTTTATATAAAGCCTATATAATAGGCATTAAAGTTAAGATTATCCTTATTAAAGTATACTATAGTATTAAAAAGGTTAAATAATACTATATAGTACTCTAATAGGCCTATAAAATTATATATAAAAGTACCTAACTACTAACTATAAATCTATCCTTTAGAGTATAGTTAAGGTAGTTAATAATA